GGGGCTTTGCCCCAATAATTGACGTAATCTACACTGGAGGATGGAGCCAGACTACATGATAGCCCCACGGAAGATAGGACGCCAAGAAGTTGTTGCGGTTTAATTACAAACCATGCCAGGTAGAGTCCTGGCATTAAGCAACTGAATTAGTTTTTCTTATTATGTGGACACCAGGCGAAATGTATGCTGAGTTATGAAGTTCGCCCTCGCTTACAGGTACTAACGCAGCGCAGACGCAACTACATGCTTGTTTAAATCATTCAGTAAAATACCAGTCTTTAGTTGTCACTGTCCTAGATTTGGACCATAAGAGCACAGAAGACAGTGTACTGGAAAACTTGGGGCGTATGAAGAATCACTGCTTACACCATACTTCTCCATTCCACACGAATAGGCAGTATACCCTACGTCGCCATTCCACACGAATATACAGAGACGATCAAAATTTACTCGATGTGGTCCACACCACCGCTTCTCCTACCCGAATGCACGTTTTTGTCCAATGAAATTGTATTCTTAGTGGTTGTTTAATGTGCGCAGCTGTGCCAATCAAAAATTAATCAAAAACGCAGCTGAACAACAATTTTTTTAATCCTGCAGATCAATCTGAAAATGCTCAACATTTTTTTTCCTCTCCGGAGCATGAATTATGGAGAAAAGTCTGATGAATGACCATGTCACTGTCTCCAGATCTCCCTACGAACAAGCGATACCGCCCTATAAAAATTGAGCAAGAAGCCCGCATCCGGAGCTTTCGTATGCTGCCCTCGGCTTCAGAAGCAAACACCGCGGTCCCAAGATAGTGCAGTTCAAATTTTACTGCATACTCATGTGGAATGGAGAGGTATGTATTTTCGTGTGTTTGGAAGTACATTAAGTGGGCTGACCGTGAAATGCGGAATCAGTTAAACCGCTGAGTTGACGTCGCACACAGTGCCAGATGTATTAAATAACTTCACTACTTTCTGCGACGAAATAAGGAGTATGGTAGGAATGCTGAAAGCTACTCCAGTACTTTCTTGGCCCGCCAATAGAATTTTCTGTAAGAATTCGAAAGTTTCTTGGTCAAGTTGTCCGTGTTGGAAACACCCAACATAGCGTTTAGCTGCTTTGGAGTTAACCCCTCATCCAACCAATGCCGAAACTGCACGAGTCGAACATCGCTAGCCAGTTTCTTCGTGCTCGGAGCCATGGTCGCAGCTTGAATCATCTCCGAACGTGCTGAAACGTCTTTAAAAAGTGTAGCCAGCTTTGCAAAGATAACCTCACTTGGATTGTCGGGGTGGATTCTGGCGATATACGCAGCCCAGGTGTTCAAAATGGGGCTCTTGAATAGTTGGATATCGGTCTTATCGAGGTTTAAGACCTTGAACACGTAATCTCCAGAACTACGTGCGCTCTCCCATTTCGCCAGCTGAATTCCCTCCAACTTAGAAACGAGAGCATTGGCGCTGTCGATTTCTTTAGCTGCAGCAAACATCTTGGCCAGAGCTTCGTCATTGTAATGTACTCTCAACCTGGTGTAAATAACAGCTTCCGAGTCCGTCGGGTTAGCTTTAGTGATGAAGTCAGTCCACCTGGAAAACTGTGGGCTTGCAAGACCTTGTGATCCCATCCGTTCGAGCTCCAAAATGTTGAAAACGTCCCTGGGAGACTTGTTAGTGCTAATCCATTTGGTAAGCTGTATCTCCTCCAATTTGGTGGCAACAGCCTTGGTTTCGTCGATTTCTTTAGCTGCAGCAAACATTTTTGCCATTGCGTCGTCGCTGTAGCGGCTTGCCAGTGTTGTGAATATTGCAAGCTCCGGGTTGTTCTTGTTGGTATTCTTTACGAACTCAATCCACTTGATAAAACGAGGACTTTTAAACAAGTTTATCCCCGTTTGGTCGAGCTGGAGGATCTTAAACGCGTCGGCTGGAGACTGCTTTCCCAGTTGGAGTTTAATATTCTGGACAATTTTCGACATCAATGGTATTTTGCCCACTTGATCGAGTCCCATTGCGGGCACTCTTTCTTCCATAGCGTTGGTCTGTTCATCCGTCGTCTTTATACTCTCAGATCTCAATAACCGCGGTGTAGTGCTCTCCATGTTCCGCGCGACGGGGGGTTGAGGGATGCGAACAACCTCGTGAAACATCGAAGCCACGGAAGTGTAGGAAAGAACAGCGACTAGAAGCAGCAATTTCATGATGGAGTATCGTCTAGGCATGCTGAATATGAGTTCCTTGAATGAACTGCGGCCACTTTACTAGCAAATGCAAAGTGAGTCGATTGCCGTGTGGCTGCGAAGCATCGACACATCGTCTAAATCCTAGGATTGGATGTAGACAAGTGTGTTTACGGATGGTGTACAGTCACAACGAGTCTGATTAATCCAGAGGCTATGAATTTTAGTGTGTAAACTTTAGTTTAAAACCCCTACTTATGTATGTTATTGTCTGCGTTATTTTAGTTTATCCAAGATTCGAATATCAAGTTTCATCTTTATAACGGTAAAAACTAGATATGATAGTTAGTTAGAGATATGAGCAAAGAAACGGCGTAGATTCTGGTTCTGATGTCCTTTCCCCCCAATTCGCAGTCGTTTTGGAGCCAACTTTTCGGGGAAGGGTTCCGACAGGGTTAGTTAGACTAGTCGTCAAATTCAGGAAAATAATTGGTCAGTCGACTCATCCCAGATGGATTTTAGGATAGGGCAGAGGCAGTTGTCCAATCGACGTGACATTCACATAATACATATCGTAACAAATCCTACTTAAGAAATTGTATCTATTTATAGAGGTCTCAAAACGTGTTTGCAAGGTACTACATAGTTTATTAGAGGTAATTGATTTATCGATAAGTTTCCAACAATGGCGATACCTGCTTCGAAAAAGCTCTAACCTCCGTTCTACACTACCGACAAGAGTAAAAACTGGTGTCTACTTAGTTCTTTAGACTTAACTACAAGCTTGCGTTGTCCATCGATCCCTCCGCTGCTATACTGCTTCACCAAGTGGAAGTTTTATTGATACTCGCAATCCTGTCCTGCTCTTCCTCTTACAGATGTCACCCTCTGGTTATTCTAGAAGTGCTCTAGACAACTCCGATTCTGAAATTACCTGCTGGATTTTTGGCGTCTCCCACGCTACGTTATCAAATTGGATATCTAAGCACTCGTACTACTCGAAATGGATACCGTTTGTAGAGAATATGAAGTTGAAAACAGTTGTGCAAGCCATTCTGGCTGAGTTTCGGTACCTACTTGATACTGCTGATCTTGATCTCGAGTCTGGAGTATCGATTCCTATCGGATTTAAAACGCCTACAACTAAGCGCTTCCTGTCGGCTACATCCCATCCGCTGATGTCTCAACAGAAAGCTGTAAAAGTTGCCAAAAAGAGCGAAGGTATAAAGTATCTGACTGGGTCGGTCAAAACGGTCACGCACGGACGCTCTCTCAAATATCCTACTGAGACTTTGTTTTTGTTGGACGAAGTCAAAACGTCATAGAAATCTGGCAATTCTATCTCTCGGAATAAAATCTCCATGCGGCTGATACAAAAGTTTGGCAACATCGATGACTCTGAAGCCCCGAGTGAATTTTGCCGTGTCATGAAACTTAACGAAAGAATAATATCACCTTCGCTTGCTCAGTGGGTACGTGTACGTCTGGAGGGTGCTAGTTGGTCTATTCGAAAGGAGAGTGTATCACAAAAAGTCCCAACGAATTGGGTCGCAGTCGCGCTAGAAGCGTCAAATAAAATTTGAGCCAAGCTAAAGGCGTGTACCGTGTTGATAAATGCCGACGATAATTTCATCAACTTCTATCCAAGAGATACTGAATTCGTTGTACCTACGAATACACGACGTGTTGGCTTGAACGTAGCTTCAGATGGTAAGAAAGGGTGTACGGTAATGGTTTCGGCTGAAATGCACTCGTCAATGATCCTTCCTCCTTTCAACGTGATGTCAGCGACACATAATGGCACCCTTGCGCGCCGTTTTGCATCGTGGCGTGACAATGGCGGCGACGCTAGTGTCCATTTCCAGCCATCCAACTGGATGGACACTCCAACTGCAAAAAGTATATCGACTTCCTCATAAGTCTGTTTCCGTGTCAAAAGATCGGATTAATTTGGGATGCTGCTTCTGCTCACACATGCCGGGAATTGACTATTTAGAGCTGAATGGACTCATGTACGAGTTCATTCCCTCAGGATTGACCTCAACCATGCAGATCTGTGGTCTGTACGCTAACCGACCCTTAAAGACTGCCATTAAGAAGAAATTCTTTCGATGGAAGGTCTCGCAAACTATACCACCGGGAGGTAAGTACAAAGTGGACCGAGTGCAAGTGATTCACTGGGTCGAAGAAGCAGTAGTGGTGGTGAATGAGCAGATGGAGACGAGTCGGAAGGTGGAATACATGTTCAATAGGCTTGGCCAGGATCCGAGACAGTCTGACAATCAGCTTTTCCAAGATCATATGAGTTGTCTTCAAGATAACGAGGTCTACAACTCCTTACTACTGAACCAGACTGCTGAAGGCCTGGAGTAGTAGACATAGCTAGCGAGCGCCCATTTCCCTTGAAATTGACGAGCTAAAACTTAACACGAAAAATGCATATTCGCCTTTCTAGCGTGCTTTTTTATGTTAAGACGAGTGTCATACGCACCCTGTCGAAAATATTCCTTCTGTGAGGTACGGTATTTAAGAATGAAAGATGTCCTTCAAATAACGCTTCAAAGCATACATACTAGAAACATGCGTTGCAACGAATTATTTCTTGTTTTATTGAACGACTCGTTGGTAGGATAAGTAGTATCACTGGGAGTAAATATTAAAATTGCGTAAAAATATTCCATTTAGTGAATTGAATATATTAAAAAAAGTAATATTAGCCAAACTCGACGTGAGTCTTATATTTCTCGATATTGATAGTATTTACAATATTCAAGTAATGTTTTCCCAATAGCACTACTTAGTACTAAAAAACTTAATACTATTGATCGTTTAATATAAATGCATTTTTTTCAACCTCTTTTAAAAATTTACTACAACTGCGTTATTAATATGTTTTCCCCTCTGCCTTCTGGCGGGGGGCATTACCCTGCCCACCATGAAGGCGATTCTTATACTGGCAAGACAAACGGACACGGGAGTCGAAGGAGGAGTGACTGGCCCAGTCGAGAAAAATCTGGTGCTTGATTGTCTGATGGTAGCCTACGTGAAGATTTGGAGAACATTTTCTGGTTTCCTGGGAAGACGCAAGGAGTTTCACAACCGACACTATTCTCGTCGCGGACCAGATAACACAGAGTAAAGAACGAAGATGCTTAGTTTAGTCACTTTTCCTCTTTCCTCTGAGCGATAACCCGCCGCACCACGCCGTCCACCACGGCTGGTGTGGCAAATAAACACTTTGTCCCAAACGACTTAGTCCTCGCCATGGAAACACGAACCTCGCGACTCTAAAGGAGGATGACATGATATTGCGCTAGTACAAGCGAGACGACAGTGCAAGACCACTGGGACAGGAGGCCATTGGCTAACGAAATGATACCAATTGTCACTGATTGATTCTTTGTTTTTCTTCTACGGTACTCATTTGAAACAGAAACGTGGAACCTGTTTGGACACTCATGACCGGTCTGAAGTACAAACTAGACTAAATCCAATTCGCTCAGATGCTTTTTCGCGCGTGGGTAGTAACTAGCGTACACATTTGCAATCGCCTTCTCTTCCATAGTCGGAGTGCCACCAAAAACTCTCTGGAGCATTTTAGCAGGCTTGATTTCTTTTATAATCCACTCGTCGAATTGCAAGCCCATCAAAACTAGAGCATTGCTCTTCGTTTCGGGGTCTTTCGCTGCTTCTCGGATCGCCTTTGCCACTGCAGCATCCGTATATGACTCCGCAATTGTCTTCATCAAGCTCATGTGTTTTCTGGAACACTTGAAGTTGAACACGTTCAAGTAGTCGGTCATCGTGTGCATCGTCGGGTTGGCGAACAAGTTGCCCATTCCTTTGTCAAGTTTCAGCCGCCTGAAAACCTCGTTTGGCGATTTCTCAGCAGCAAGCCACGCACTCAGCTGCTTCTTGCGCAACACTGTCGTCACCGCTTCCGTTTGGGGGACTTTGCTTGCTGCTTGAATCAACTTTGCCACCGCTGCATCTCCGTAGTGAGCCGTCAACGTCACAGCCATGGACGCTTCGTACCCTGGCTTCTGCAAGTTGTATTTTCCAACGTACAAGGCCCAGGTGTTTAACTTCGTGCTGTCGCGGAGCTTGTCAATTCCGTCGTAGGAATTTTCGTACATCGTCTGCGTCTTCATCCTTTGCCAGCCATAGCTTCATTCTTGCGTTGGTGAATCCACCACTAAGCGCGGTAGAAACTGTCTCAAAACCAGAGATCGTCAGCCTCTCTTCATCCATGATATCGTCTATGGTGTCAGTATTTCAGCAATCTCTCTGGGATCATTATCATTGACTGTGACCGAATGGGTCTCCATCAAGTCCGAGGATGCAGAAGAACAACATGACTGGAGAGAGCAGTAGCAGCAGTAACGAGCGGGATGCAGTGCAGACGCATGACGCGGGGGGGGGGGGGGGGAAGAAAGTGAAGGCTTTCGATCAAGGAAGCAAATTGCAAAGTGGGCTAAACTAACCTAGATTCGGACTTAGCATCTGGAACGAAAGACATAAACACATACCTAGTCTGGAGCATAATGATATGCCAGTTGATCAATCATTCCGGCCGTGATCGGTAGGACCGGATCTCATTGAATCATCGTACAATACGTTGTTGCAGTTTCTAACGGCAGCTTGAGAATATACGGATCTACGTTCGTCTCATCAGCTAATCTGTACTCGTTTGACCACTCCTTCGTGATGGGGTATCGAGCGGTTGGTCGCCAGAGGAGTCGTCCGCGCAAAATAAAGCGATGGAATTCATACGCAGCCAGGCTAAATGCTCATGTACATGTTTTGAAAGATTACGACTGTGTTTTCTGTTCGAAAAGCCGATCTCATGGTCGACACTGTCACGTAGTGAGGACGCGTAAAATGTCCATAGTACTATGAGGTCAATCCACAGAGATAGTATTAATCCACAGATCTGTGAGCCCAGTAAATAACGCACTATACTAATCCATAGCTGAATTGACAAATCCACTAGAAGATCAATCAAACCACCAAATGTCAGGTAATCAAACAAACTAAATTTTAGCCAACCAGTGACCGATTACAAGCCATCGGAGATTGGCCGACACGCATTCAATCAAAATCTGCTGCAGGAAACGTCGAGACAAGCCACCGACAGCGCCACCTCACTCCCCTTGCTCTCTACGCGCAGCACTCGTAAGCCCATAGTGAGTAGCAAGACGAAAACATCCGTACGTACGCGAAAACTACCTGAATACCGTCTTTTGTTTGCTTGATTGCTAACAATGTATCTGACACAGCCGCTCCTATTGTAGCGGCAGAAAATGAAGGGACTAGTAATCAAAGCCACAATTTGGGCTCAATTTTGATAAAACCAGATATGACATTTAGATATGTGGTAAAAACCGCTCATTTTGAGCATGCTTTTGGTGTTAAAACCGGCTAATTCAACGTAGTTTTGCCGCTACAGGCTCCACCAAAAGGTGTCTCCGAGGACATTTAAGCGGGGAAACAGTTGCTAAAATGCTGATTTTCTATTGGTCTAGAGCGTGGAAAGTGCAAAACAGTCGTGCAAACACGCGTTAAGAATAAAAGGTTCAAAATTAAAAAAAAGGATTTGTATAAATTTAAAGTTAACCCTACATGGGCAAAAATGACAAGCGCACCTCGACGAAATTGGTGTCTGGGTCGAAGTTCCTTGCCCGGAGCACCCGATAAACTCTGTTTTTACCAAAGCGCGTTGCCTCTTTAGTTCGATGGCGCGAGTCCTGCCCTCCACTACTGCCTGCTTTGACCTCGGCGACGAAATAATCATATACATTGCAAACTAGGGTTTTCTCCTCCGGGCTGAGCTGGTGTCTGCGTTGCATTGCACTTCCTGAAATGAAAGAGATGAAGAGTCTTTATTTATGGAAGAAGGAGCTACGAAACCTCAGCTTTCTATTCGCGCCCTTTGCGCTCAATTTAAGGTTATTTTTATGAAGTTATCGCCGTTCATCCAAATATAACAATTCATTTTGGATTAGCTAGCCCCATCATTTTCTGCCGCTACAATAAGAATGGGAAAGCTACTCCCGTGGGCTATGCTGCATCGGCAGGTGATGCGACCTACAAGTTGAACCAAGTGGATTATCCTACCTTTGTCTGTGGAATTTCAGACCATTCTCCTTCCTTTCACTTGGTTGCTTTGTTCGTCGTGTCACAACAAGAAAAGCGTCACTACGCATGTGCGCTTGCATCCCTCCAAGCTATCTACGCTCGCGTTTTGCAGAAGCCGATGGTAGTGCACACCTTAACTAGTCTTGCGACATCTATCTTATGAACTTATTATGGGGTTCTCTCGAGTTTGATGGTAAGCACATGTAGAATATGCCGAGTTGAACATTTTGCTGCCAACGCATTCACTGTTACGATGAGAAACAGATCTTCACTAAAATATAACTTTACAAAGTTTTTTATGCTATAAAGTTGTTGAGACGCGACATTTCAATTGCTTGATTCAAGTGCTGTTTCCAGGCTGTATTGCAATTGGGCATGAAGGTGCTCCTATGCATCTCGCGATTCCCCGACCCACAAGCACAACATGAGAAAACTGTAGCCATTACCGGTATGTTGACCCCGTATACATCGTGCGAACAATACTGAAGGCCGTGACACACAACAGGGCTGTCCACAGTCCATCCGAACAACTTGATCATCAAGTTCAAGTGCACTGAAACCAGCGAAAATTGTCTGCAGATGATCAGGATTGGCAATTCCGGCCTCAATTCACCTTCCCTGCATCACTGTTGCATTGGCCGGCGCTAGAGAGAGTGTCCGTCTCCGAACCAACCAGCTTACAACAATGGCGGACGTGACTCCACTACGACGAGCTCGAACGCTTCAGCCTCTTTCAGAACAGCGACGTGACCGAGCAAGACCTGCGAGTATGCGAGAGAAAATTGGAGTGAGATGGCACAAGTCACTCCTAGCTCGTTCGTCTGCCAAGACTCCCGAACCTCCAATGGCGAGACCCAAAGTGAGACTTCGCGACGGTGACGTGGAGGCGTTCCGCAACTTGGCACACAGTGTGATCTCTCGAACTTTGGCTCATGAGTGCGAGTACCGACGTCAAGGTTGCCCAGAACCCGACGCACAGGAATGGAAACTAGTGAAGCGACACAACGGACTCCGCGTGTACAAATGCAAGATGCAGCCAGAGTTCCAGCCGTCACTGAGTCAGGAGAACGCACTAGCACGAGCGCCGACTGCGGTTTGTGTAGGCACCATTGACGGCTCGCTCAAGGACGTTCTCTATGGTCTCCATACCAAGACCCGCAGGGAGATGCACGTGACCAACACGTTTATGAACAAAGGACATCTCGAGTGTGCTGTGTTGTCTGTGATCGAGCGTGGATCAGACCGTGATCCGTTCAAGCAACTCGCACTAAAGTGGATCCTCGCACAGAATTTCGGAGACGTGAAAAGTGGCAATTACCATGACGTGTGTACTATCGAGTCGATGGGCACAGGAGTAGACGGTCGAGGCGACAACTTCGGCTACCGATTGATCAAAAGTGTCGATCTAGCGGAATACCCGCAGTTGTCCACCAGCAACGACGTCGTGCGCGCTAGAATGACGATGTGCTGCATCTTTCGACAAGACGCCAACTCACGCACTGTGCGTGTTTATTCCAAAGGAATGCTCGACATGGGGGAAGATATTCCGTCCTTCGTGCCAAATAGCGACGCTACCAGCACGATGATGCTGTCCATTGCCAGTGCGACGGAGATCGCAGAGGCCAAACGACTGACTCTACTTGCTCTACAACGTGCCGAGTACAGTGCTTGTCACTCTCAGCGAACATGCGAGCCTGAGGACTCTTCGCGCGAGACGGAGGCGACGATCACCTCTCCACAACCAGCTGAGGGTATGAATTTGCACGAATCATTCCTACAGAAAATGCCTTCGGATCCGTGTTCCGTGTGTGGGAAGAACCCGACGATGTCCAAGTTTGTTCGGGCCTCGCATCGCTCCTGCGGAGTCTGCAAACATCCCGTGTGTCATAAATGCCATGTCAAACGCAGATTGTTCGCTCGATCGGACGCAGTCGTCGTCGCTTGCTGTAAGATCTGCATCATTGCGTCCAAGCGACTGCGCATAGATCCACGTGATCCCTGTCCGATGCTATCGGCATAAATGACGATAGTTTTCCATAGGTTAGTATGAACATTATCATTTTGCACTAGAATCTTTTTTTCTTGGTTTGTTAAATTCTTTACAGGAACTTGGAGAGGTATGAGTGCATGAACCAGAGGTAGGCGACCACAAAGACTACCCGTTGCAGAATTGACGGTAAAATGACCAGTAGCTGTACCACGACGCCCCAGGACCACATGAACAGGTACGGCAACGTCAACCAGTGCCACACAGGCCACATCCCAACTGCCAAACTACATGAAACAACAGCCAGACCATCAATACATCAGTATGCAGCCTGTCAAGATATCACTAAACTGGTACTTACCAGAACCCCGACGCTAGCATCGAAACCAGCATCCCGTGCGTCGCTGTCTTGGCGCTCTCATAGTGCACTCGCTCACCTAGGATCATGCTACGGTACACCTCGATGTAGCAGCCAAAGACACCCAGTAGCGTTCCGAAGAAGATGCCCAGGTGCACAAAACTACGATTGGCATGCGGCGCGTGCAGTAAATCCGATACAAAACCCGCTTCATAGATTCCCAAACTCGCCACAATGAAGAACGCTACGGACCAGATCTTGTCCATCACGAAGCGCAACCAGATCTCAGTCTGAGAGCGCCGCGGTTCCGGGATATTGGCCACCATAGGGTCCGTCTCCGTTTGCTTTGTCTCATCGTCGTCGTCTACATCGCGCTGCAAGCGAGGGCGGCGCTCCTTGATCTCCTGCATGTCCATCATCTTGGTAGCTTGGAATGTCTGAATCCTCTTATTTCATAAGGACAATGCAGTCTATTTCACAGGTTCTGATTCCGCGTGCGTGTTTATCAGGTACAGGCGTCACCAACTTCTCAATGGGATAAATACAAATCTCGTAAAAAGCGAAGAAATTCGAAGATAAACTTTGATGTTCAGCGAAGGTATAATAATAAGCTGGTGATCTTGAGACCTAACACGTCGCGTCGTTCTGGGGTCCGGATAGGTGAGGCTTGCTACCCAAAAGAGAAACAGGTATACATTTACCCCAATGGATCTTGTTTAATAAGTATCGTGTTGTTGGCCGCTGCATACCTATCAGTAGTGAGTTTCACCGTAAGCCCGATCAAGGATATATAATGTTTGAGACATTAAGATGACAGGAACAAGTTGGTGGAGCTATCCTTCGGACGAATATTAAAGGTGATTGGAGCTGATACATTTCAAAGTGGGTGATGTGGACGTGTAAACCTGGCAATTTCTACAGAAAAGCACTGCAACGTCCAGCGATTTTGGGCAGGTAAGAAGCGTTTTACAAACTACAGAATGACTACAGGCTACCAAAGTTAATGGAGATGTTCGCGTTTTATTTCCTAGTTTGCTGCTACGTAGCCAGTTAGAAATACCCAGTACTGCATGCTTGGTTCCCCAGCGCTCTATTTTGGGTGTGACAACAAACAATTCTAAATCGTTCTCCGTCGAATTTGATCTACGCAAAACAATTTTCTTTACATTCCTAAAACTTTGCATCTGATTCCGACTCAGAGTCAGATCTATCTGTGACACACATTTCCACATTATCAGAGCGAGGGTTCGTCGACATGGGGGTCAAGAAGCCCGCGGAGGCTGTTGCGGCCGCCGTTGAGGCCTCAGTCTCTGCTGCGTCTACGCGCGGCTGCAAGGAGTTCGCAGCCAACAAGCGGGGCGTGTTCTTCCTCACGTTCGTCAGCTACGTGTTGTTCCATGCGAGTCGCAAGAGCTTCTCGGCCATCAAAGGCGAGATGGGGGACGAACAGTGGATTCACTCGGACCTGTATTCAAGAGACCAGCAGGCCGAGATGTACGGGCTGATGGATACGCTCTTCATGGGCTTCTACGCGCTCGGGCTCTACATCAGGTATGGAGGTGCTATTAACCGTTATTAGTTCCATTAACCGATATGTGACGTGTGCTAATGAATGTACCAATATTGAAGTGGCATTCTAGGAGACAAGCACGATCTTCGCCGCATGATCGCTGGCGGTATGTGGGCCACAGCAGCTATTGTATTACTGTTCGGACTCGGAGCATTGGCTGATATCCACGCGCTGAGCTTCTACGCGGTACTATGGGGTCTCAATGGCCTCATCCAGTCCAGTGGATGGCCTGCTAACGTCGCTGTTATGGGCAAGTGGTTCGACCAGAAAGAACGCGGCGCAGTGCTCGGAGTCTGGAGTGGCAATGCCTGTCTGGGCAACATTGTGGGCACAGCTCTCGTAGCTATAATGTTCGCAGTGGTAGACAAGACAATGGCGTGGAAACTCGCACTGATCGTAGCTGCTGGACTCGTGGCGTTCCATGGCGTTCTCATACATTTGTTCTTATATCCGGACCCGAAGGACGTGCCTTATCGCCATGAATCACTCGAGGAGGCCAAGCCAGAAGTAGCCAAGCAGAAAGATGACCCCGAAGAACTTGCGGACTCGGCAGAGGAGACAAAACCCAAAGGCATTGGCTTTTTCAAAGCCTGGTGCATTCCCGGGGTCAGTATTAGTGCGTTTAAGCTAGCGTTGCGTGATCTTTAACCGACTTTTGTGTGTACAGGTCTTACCGTACTCGTTGGCGTATGCTTGTCTCAAGTCGGTCAACTACGCGCTGTTCTTCTGGCTTCCATTCTACCTGACAGTGTCGCTTCACATGGATAATTCTGAGGCGGGCTCTTTCTCGGTTCGTTATCTTCTTGCTATCTCGAGTGATTTGGTTTAACCAGTGTTTGTATTGAATCGGGTAGATGTTATACGACGCTGGGCAGATTTTCGGAGGTTTCGTGGGTGGAATAGTGTCCGATAAAATGGGTGTGCGGTCTCCGGTGGTCGTAACAATGCTGCTTCTCTCCTGGTACGAAACCTACTGTTGCGCTGGTTGTAACTACATTCTAACTTCATAACTGTTATATCAGCATCACCTTGTACTTCATGGACGGAGCTTCATACGACGTGACCGCGCTCCTGTTGCTATCGTCTGGGTTCATGCTGGGTGGCCCAGCTAACTTGATCAGTACTGCCATTTCGGCGGATCTAGGCACTCACGAGAGTATCAAAGGGGACGCTGAGGCACTTTCCACTGTCACGGGTATCATCGATGGCACTGGAAGCATCGGAGCTGCTTTGGTGCAATACCTTGTGGGGTATTTAGCTAATTGCCAGTACGAACCGAAAGGCTGCGACCCCAAGAGCCCTCACTGCGTCCAGGTTTGCTCGTGGGGTCCAGTTTTCGTGCTGTTGGAGGTCGGCACTGTTCTGTCGTGCGTGTGCCTCGCACAGCTCCTATACCACGAACTGCTACTCATTCGGAGCCGACGTCGCTACTGCGTTCGTGAGAATTAAAGCATCGGGAGGAATTAATTACTGACCGAGAGGGGTTAATTATCGTATCTTTCCCCGCACCATAACTCACTACAATAAAACGCTTCAGCATTATTAACGCTATATCAGTAGATGTCAACATGTGTTCTTTAGGTTTCGTCGAATACCTTGACGCAATGTGTCGGCTCCATTAAACAGCGACCGGTGTGTATGCTGTGTTGTGCTGAACAAGGTATTTCTTGACTAAATCCTTGTTGACCTTGTCTACTGCTCTGTTGCCTCCCTTCATCGAAATAGCCATATCTGTTGGTATCTTCTTCTCCTTCCAGAATTTGCTGACCAGACCGACGCGCAGCCGCTCGGCGGTGGCAAAAGCGAGGTCGTCCTTGCTCTTCAGCCCAAGCTCGATATACTTCACCAGTTTTTCTAGTCCCAGCTCCCTCTCGAGTGTTTTAACTCCAAACAAGTCGTCTGTCTTCTTGGCTGCTTCCTCACTATATCTGACATATAGGGGCAGCGCTTCGGGCGCGAACGCTTTCCCTACTGGCAACTTCTCCATCACATGTGCCGTATAAACATCGTCCAGTGATTTCCCGTTGATCCCTTTGACCAATTTGTCGATTTTGTTCATCGCCTCTGAGGGCATCGCCTTGGTAAGCATCGTCAGCTCCTCCGGCACCCCCGCCACCGCCACCGTCATCGACTCGACCGGTAATACCTTTTTCGACTTGAATAGTTTCGCGATCTTATTAGCAAAGTTCGACATTGCCCCCCGCTCTTCGTTATCTTCGCCACCAATCGTCTTCTCGGCTCTCAGGATTCTCCGGGTTTCCACGTCACTTCGATCAAGAAGGACGTTGGGGTTCACAATCGGCAATGAGGCATCGGCACACATAGCGATGACAGCAAGCGCTACTACGAGCAGATATTGAAGACGCATTAGTGCGCTGTTCGTTGCCCCTGTATCGAAGCAAAATGAGAAGTAGAGTGCATGGACCGAAGCGGGGGAAAGTGTTTACAATCAAACAATTGAATGTTGTGATAAAGAATGTTGTTATTAATACAAGCTGGGGAATGGGTGTCATTATTGTGCTAAACATGAGCTCAAAAGTTAGAAAATACTGCCCCTCCGCTGTTGTACAAAAAAAGCCAAAATGTACATGTCCTTTAGAAAGCAATAAAACGCAAGATACAGTGCTATTAATACATCCCGTTTGCGCGCCGTCGGACCTTTGATAAACTTCGGGGTATACATCTTCTTGCCAAAAATACCCTCAGATATATGCTTAAATCTGATGAATTTGCAAATCCGATAAGATCCACATCCGCGAAAACGGAGTGCATTACTGTAAAACTTCTTATAAGAAACTATCGCTAAGAGGTTGATTACGGCATATTTAGTGGGTGTACAAGCGTCTTCATGAGGCATAGAACAGCATGGATTTGAAATCACAGTTACACACACTGCTGTACGTAAACGTACGTTCCCATAGCAGAGGCTTTAATGATTTAATCATTAGCTGTATAGTTTTTGTAATTTCAAATCCTCGACACCTGAAAAGTCAAGTGGAGTGGACATGGCTATAAGCTACTACTAGTAGTATTATACAAGCATGACCAGTCTCGTCGTATTGCTATATGCCATGAACATTTGGTTTTGGAAGGTTAGAGGAAATCTATGGATCACTTGAGACGTATACAAGCAATTAAAGCTCAAGTTATCGCGCAGAAAATGAGGGAGCAAACACATGTTTGCACGAAACCGTATACTGCATCTTGTGGAGGGCATCGAATTTTCTCAGCCATAAATGTCGCATTGTTGTGGAGTCGAACGGACTGCCTTATTTTTTGGGAACAAGTCCAGAATGTTTATGGTAAACCTCTCTTATCTAATATAGCCGGTGGAACAATTTTTGATCAAGTATACCAAGTTGATCATGTAAGGACGGCTGGTGTGGAGTACATTCCTGAAAGTTAGTGGGGGATGGGAAATGGAGGTAAGATTTTGTCAGTGTATCGGGCTCGGACCAAATAGTCAAGTTTTAGCGTACTTATTAGGTGTGGGAAAAAGTGAGTCCGCAATTGGAAATATCCCGAATATGTGCACCTCCGATTCGGCACCGGTATCAGTCGATACCCTGCCAGATTTTATGTTTACGCGAATCGGATGTGCAATTATCTTTGCCCATCACCACCCTAGCAATTGGTTTCCCCCTCCTCGGGGAGGGATGACACGCCGCATCGATCTGATTTTAAATTTTGGAACGGACGTCTTCATACAAATAAACACTTTATTTTTTACCGCCAAAGACAATGGGACATCGCCCTTCCTCCTAAATGTCGCTAACTCGTCGCACAACGACGCTTCTATTGAGCTATCCAATATTGCTACACGCAAGCTCCCGCCCAATACAACTGCCGTACTGCAGCCCATGGACCAGGGCATCATTAAGTGCCTGAAGAATGACAAGAAGCAAGCTGCTGAGCTGGACCTGTTTTACAAGGGTGTTTCTAACAGACCAGTCGACGTTTACTCCGCCATTAAGTGGTTGTCTGAAGGCTGGAACAACATATCTGCAAAGACTATTAGAAATTGTTGGTGCCACACAGGCATCGTCTCAAAACTAAACGTAAGTTTTCTACGTAATTAACAAAATAAATATCAGTGCACTGAATTTGTGTTTGTTTTATGCTTTACGTTGTGGACTTATGCCCTGGCACTGTTGATATCATATGAAGAGTTCATTTCACTACCAAAAGGAAGTCGTTTGCGTCTTAGTTTTTCTAAAGGGGTCAAAAGCGCCCACCGTGGGTCTAGAAGGTCAGCTACAAGCAAAGCAGTACTTTTCCTCTCGCAAACTCCGTTGCGGCTAGATCCCTCATAGAAAAGTGTCCCTGCAGCTTCTAGGCATTCTATGCATTTAACCACTGATCCAATACTGAAACCAATATTAAATATAGTCCTATATCGACTAGCGAAGTAGGCATGAAAAATCCTAGAGGAAGAACGGATAGGATTTTAGGCTGTGCTGCCTAGATAGAAGAGGCATGTTGATATGGTCCGCCCTGCCGAATTGGAGGTGCATAACTGTATATCGAAAATCTTTTCTTGAAGCCCCAAAAAATTAACGCTTTTCTGGCCTACCCATTGACTAAAACTGATGCTGGTGTGTAAAACCCAAACACGGACATGAATTAATCCAAGTTGGACTGTACGTTTACTTCGTACCGAAGCACTACCAGTAAAAAAGAATGTACAAATCCATTTTGGGTCCTGATAGTACTCGTAAACTACAAGAAACAGTAAGCAGATACTGCGGCTGCGAACCAGGCGCCGGAATGTACTGACGCGGCGTCAGTGACGCCAGAGCGTACATTTTTGGCTCATAGAAAAAAAGAACATTTCTAATCTTACCATACAAGCCAAGTGGTACCCCACAAGCGAGGCGATTATTTTTTTTTTTTTTTTTTTTTTGAAAGTTTTGGCCCAGACGAAATGTAGATTGCTTCGCCTCAAACAAATAACATTAAGTTTATAGCATTGCAATTCCTTTTGATACTTATCTCGACAATTCATTCTCGCGAACTTGTTGAGCCATGCAAAAAGAAATAACAGTACATTTTATAGATGTGATCCCCGCGCATATAGTTCGTGCGCTGAAGTATTCGACTATAGAATTGAACAAATGCAAAGCTAATAAAAAGATTTCTGTAGTTAACTTTGACCGTACGAGCTTTCTACATTTGCAGATGCACTTCATCCTCCCCAACTCTTAAACTCTGAAGCCTAACGAAAGGAACCATCATAATTTAAGTATTAGGTTATCAATACCAGTGCGGTTTGTTGAGGTAAAACATACCTGCTTTATTTTCACTGATGATAAGTTGGTTTGCTTTTTTTTTTTTTACTTAGTGTTAACGGCCTAAATTTACGGAACTCTTTAGTTATTAGATTGAACTACCTACAGGTGTCAGTAAAGTTGAAGACGAGTATGCTTTGCTATCTTTACGAAAAACAAACACTGGTCAGTCGGAGTTTTTGGTTGTATGAAATCTATGTGAGGGCACTACACGTAACATACGTCACAAAGTCTAGTTGCACAAATCCAGAGCTGTTCCGAAGCGCGGCTTTATAGTCAGAGAAGAGTCGTCGTCACTAACTAGATTTCAAATATCAAGTGAATCCATTTATATTTTGTCACATTCGCATGGGTTTTACGAGGTATTGAGCTGCGGGGAAAAAAAGATGCATGATCCCATTGACAAAATAATTTTCTGTGTTGATGCGTTTGTACACACCTGGTCCGCTGCTGTTGTTGTAATTTTTATACATCAACTCTTTCGTGGTCAGCAGTGGCATGTTTCGCCCTTTGATTCCTGTTCGTAACCGGAGATAAAATTGGTCATGAATGGGGGCAAATGTCCACTTTGGCGGAGGTTCAACCACGAACCCACCTTTATTTGAACATGATAATAACCACCAATGAGAAGCAGGATAGCACCCCAACCCTTGAGTACATTTCGCTGTGTGGTAGACATTACTGCAAAATATGCGTTTAGGTACGAAATATACTACTATTGCGCCAGCAACGTGCTTTATAAGTACGTTTTCTTTTTTGGTAATAAGTGATACCACAATAGAGAGCCAATACTAGTCCAACCAAATTTACATAGTAAAATAAAGATATGTGCACATTTGTTTTCCATACATAGATGAAGATATTTACATACAAGGATACATTGTAATCAACACTGAACTAACCCGATGGAGCGGTTAATTCGCGAGTCCGTGTGGCACCGGTGGAGCACGATTAGAGCTATATAGACGAACCTACCGAGCTACACACTTCCACAAGCCAGGTGAAC